GGGGGCTGCGCCTGACAACACCTCGTGTGTGAGAGGAGACTGCCTTCTCTCCCTCTCTCCCTGTCTCTTTCTGGCAAGCACATGTGCCCTCCAGCAGACCAAAAAAAAGAAAAACACTCCGATTATAAATTTTTAGTTGGGTGGGTCAGTAAAGGTCTCTCCTTTAAATTGCTGACTCACGAAAGCCAGTCTGAGGTGGAACAGTTAGTACTCCTAGCAAAATGAACATCATTTCACTCGTAAGACTTTTTTATTCTAAGATTATGTTTTTCCTAACTTTTGGCTTTAAAGGATTTATGAATTGATGGTAATAGTAGATAGCCATTGATTTTCCTTTTTCTTTTTTTTTCTTCTAACTGTCCGTAACAGAAAATCAGAAAGTGAGTCCCAGAGAGAAATGTAGGGAGGGCCAACTTTGTAGTCCAGTGGTTAGGGAGCTGGGTCTCACATGGCCGACTGTGGTTTGAACCCCAGCCATGGGGGCTTGAAAAACACATTGGACACATCTGTATGTGTGCCCCAAATCCTGATGGGGTGGAGAGATGGAGGAGAAAGAGTTGCACTGTACCCACACCCCGTCCGTCCGGGGTGTTTTCTACCTTTCTGTCTCGCTCTGGCATTCGCATGTACCCTCTGGCAATTAAAAAAAAAAAGAAATTTAAGGTACCCTTTCTCTAGTCTTCTATTGAAAAATTTTATTGGTCCGTGCAATAGAAGTTTGCTATAAACTACACACACACACACACACACACACACACACACTACGTTTGAATATTTTTTGAAAAGGAATCTAATTGTGATTATTTTATTTCTTAGCTTATTTATGATTCATCTGATTCCAGAAAAGACTTAAGTAAACTCACTCAGCTCCTTTGATCTCATGCCCAGATGGATTCTTCATCCCAAAGGCCTTGCAAAGGACAATGTAAAAGGAAGTTGAGGGGCCTTTTCTCCCACCTCCTGTGGGCCGACTGCAGGGCCAAGGGCTGACTTTCTCTCCCTCCTCCCTGGGCTGTGCGAAAGGAGGGAGGCGGGTGGCACCTCAGCAGAAGCCTGCAAGGCCGGAGGGCAGCTCCTCAGTTCAGCCTCCTTGTCCCATAATGGCTGCACATCCCTGCTTCTCAGGTGATGCTACATCCCCCGGGGAGCGGGGCCTGATGGGGTGAGGGCAAAGGGGTGCAGGCAGCATGTGAGAAATGAAGAGAAAAGGAAAGAGGAAGAAAGACCCCTGAGCGGGAGAGTGGGAGGAAGAAGTGGCAGGGGAGGGATGTGAGAAGGTGAGGAAAGAGGGGTTTTTAGAAATTGCAGAATTGTGGGACCAGCAGTTAGCGTAATGGCTATGTCACTGGACTCCCATGTAGTCGACCGCAGTTCAAGTCCTGGACCCGGTGGCTTAAACTCACGCCGTGTGCGTGCGTGCCCAAGATCCCGAGAGGAGAAGGACAAAAACCTCTTAAGAAAAAAAAAAAAGAAAGAAAGAAAGAAATATTTATTAAATTTTATTAATTTTTTTAAAATGTGACTGGAGAGAGACACAGAGAGAAATGTGGCTGGCAGGTGATGTGGTAGTTAAGGGCACTGGACTCCCACATGGCCGACCACGGTTCTAGTCCCGGACCTGGCGGCTTGCTTTCTCACTTTCCCTCTGTGTGTGTGTGTGTGTCTTTCTCTGGTCAAATGAAAATAAATAAGTAAAGTTAAATTAAAAATAATTCTTAAAAAAAAAAGAAGAAAGAAAAATTTAAAAAAGTAAGAAAAGAGAGAGAGAGAGAAAGGCAGTGAGAAAGCAAGCCTTCAGGTCTAGGAGTGAGATTGTGGTCAGCCATGTGGGAGTCCAGTGCCTCAACCGCTGCACCACCTGCTGGTCCCATCACCTCTGTCACCCTCTTTCTGGCTCGCTCTGACCTCAGGCCCTTCCTCGGTACGCGGTGGGAAGTTTCCACATGGTCGGACACTGCCTGTATTTTCTGTGTTATGTTCTGTCTGTGTCATTGCTTCCAGCGTGAGTGAATTTTACTCAGGATATTCTTTGGGGTTGCACTGAAAACCTCCATCTTGGGGCTGGCAGGTGGTGTAGTGGTTAAAGGTGCTGGATTCCCACATGACTGACTGCAGCTCGAGTCCCAGGCCCTGGCTGCTTGCTTTCTTGCTATCCCTTTCTCTCTCTCTCTGGTCAAATTAAAAAATAATAATAACAGATGGAATTAAATAAATAAATAATTCTTTAAAATAAAGAAAAGAAAAGAAAACCTGCATCTCCTTTTGTGTTTGAAATCTGCAGGATGGTGGGCAGGAGGGTCTGAATGAGAAACCTGGAAGGCTCCTGAGGGCAGGGAAGCCGCAGGGAGCTGTGGGAAGCGTTCGGGGATTACTGGGTGTTTCCCCACTCCTGCAGCCCTGCCAGGTGCAGGCCACCTTCTCCCCTGGCTTTCAGGAGTCTCCTTGCCGACCTTCCAGACTCAGTTGCCCCCTGCCCTGGCCAGCTCTTCGGGCTACAGCTCTGGTAATCTTTTTCAGTCTAATTCTGCATTCACTTCAGTAGAACCTTCAACGACGCCTTGATTTCCTGAGGGTGAAGTCCAAATTCTGCACCATGGCTCAAAGGTCCCACCTGACTTGGTCCCACCCACCTCGCCGGCCTTGGCTCCCAGCACCTCGCTCGGCCGCCATCATGCCCAGTTTCCTGTACTTCCCTTTAACAAGCTGCAAATCCTCCCAGAACCTGAAGACCCCTGCGTGTGCAGACTCACGGCCCAGCGATTGTCCATTTCTTTCCACCTGGCCAGTGCTCGTCCCACGGCTTCGTTACAACTCGCGGTAGGCTTTACGAGCCCTGGATCTCTTCTCTGACCTTCCCAAGACGTTAGCAGGGTCCTTCTCAGTGGCTCGCGCCCCAAGCCTCAAGCTTACAGAATCAGCAATTATTAAGTAGTATTGCTCTTATTTTAGTTTTTGCTATAGTGTACGCACGCTTGCCACAGAGAGACAGAGAGGGGGAAAGTGAAAAATCACCACCCACGGGGATGGCCAAGCCACAGTCCCTTCTCTTCCAGTCTCTGGGGATTTTGGTCACACATGCACATAAGCCTGGTAAGATTTTCTCTTCTTTTTCTTTTTCTTTTCCCCTTTTTTTTTTTTTTTTTTTGCCATAGTGTGCCTAGGCTTGCCATATAGAAACAGAAAGAAAGAAATAAATATAGGAGAGAGAGAGAAAGTGAGAAATCACCCCCCTAGAGAGGATAACCAAGCTACAATGACTTCTCCTCCAGCCTCCTCTTGGGATTTTGGGCACATACACACACATGCCCAGCATGTTTTTCAGGATGCCAGGTCTGGGACTCAAACCATATAACCAGCCAGGTGGGATCCAGTGCCTTAGCCACCATGCCACCTGCTGGCTCCAGCATCAGCAATTATTCCCATGAGTTGTGATGATCCATTGTCTTCCAAGCTGGACCATAGCTGCGCTGAGATCAGACTGCACCTTATCCCTCTTTCTAGTCATTCGCTGAGAGCAGGGACTCAATAAATACCCCTGCGAGGATGAGTGGATGAACGGAGAAAGTTCTGCGTCTATGCTGGGAGAGCGACTGACAGTATTTTGCAAACCTCAGCTCTGTCACTTTGCACCAAAGAATTAGAAAACTAAGTGACAATTCAGACAGTCTGAAAAATCTAGCACCTATGGCAACCGGGCATGCCGTTTTACTGAACTGAAAAGAACCTTCTCATGCTTCTTTATCACAAGAAAGGAGCCAGGGAGTATGGGATAAAAAATGGAAAAACTGAAAACAGAGAAGTAATCTTCTAACCTGAGGAGAGAATTTCCTAAGTGGAAAAAGATACAATTTCTTTTCCTTTCTTTTTAAGAGAGTTGTGTTTTGGTTTTGATTTGTTGTTGTTGTTGTTGTTTCGCTATAAGGCACGTGCTCTTGCCGCAAATACATAGAGACAGAAAGCGAGAAATCACCCCCCGGCGGGGTGGGAGGGGGACGGCCATGCTGCAATCCCCTCTCTTCTGTTCTCTCAGGATTTGGGGCACGCACACATACACACACAGCGTGAGTTTCAAGCCTCCAGGTCCAGGACTTGAAGTACGGTTGACTATGTGGGAGTCCAGCGACGTAATCGTTACGCCATCTGTTGGTCCCAAGATACAATTTCTTCTGTATCTATTGACCACAGACTAAGAGATTGCTCAAGTAACAGAAAAATAACGCGTGTTCATTGTAATCTTAGAGGGCCCCAGAGGAGGTGAGAGGTCACGGCCAGGCACCTCCTAGTTTCTGATGGGTGTGGAGTACCTGTTTAGAGGAGCTCAAATGCTCGTGCTCAGAAAGGGCTGGGCTGGTTAGAGGTCCGGGTGAAGGAGAGCAGGTGCAGGAGACTGGAGTCTGCCCTGGCTAACTGAGGCCGAGCCCGGAAAGCCAGTGCACGGTAAAATACCCCTCTAAGCCCTGGAGACGGGGAACTCGGGAACCCCAACACGCGCAATCGGGGTTTATGAATTACACACTGCAAGAAGTGTGATGAAAGATGACATATCAGGCCAGCAGGGGGCATGGTGGTTAAGGTGCTAGACTCCCACATGGCCATCTGCAATTCAAATCCTGGACCCAGTGGGTTGAAACTCATGTTAGGTGTGTGTGCGTGTGTGCCCAAAAATCCCAGGAGGAGAATGGAGGAGAAGGGATTGCACATGACCATCCCTCTCAGGGGATGATTTCTCACTTTCCCCTCTCACTGTCTCTCCCCCTTTGTTTCTCTCTGGCAAGCACATGCACCCTTAAAAAAAAAAAAAAAAAAAGACTGTGCGTCCTTCAGAGTCTTTGGAAGCATCTGCGTTGCTCGGTAACACTTAGTCCAGACAGGTCCATCCCAGAGAGCTCAAGGTGGGGAGAACGGGGCAGGCTGCTGGCACGGGGCCAGGCCGGAGCCCTTCCCCATGAGCATCTGCACCAGACCTACACATCCAGAATGTTCTGGAAGCTCCCTAGTGCTGGAAGCGGCCCTGTGTGAAGAGGAAGAGGGGCGGCAGTGGGACTTGGTAAGGAACTGTAGCTATTGCTGAGAAAGACCTCTGGTTTTGCATGAGAATGACATCAATGAGGGGGCCATGCAGTGCTTCAGCCATCTGCAGACATCTCCACGGAGCGCTTACTCCATTGCACGCTGTGCGCTCTGTGGAGTCAGAACCAGTCTCTGGATATGGTGCGGCCTGGTGTGGAGCCTGTACCATTCCCCCCCACACACACACACACAGGAAACCCTCCCCACCCAGCTGGGTGTGCGGACTAGGGCAGCGGCTTACAGCAGGTTCTGAGTCCTTTAATGACTGCCCAGGACTCGGCCCTGCCACATTGTTCTGAATATGCTTAGACTTAAATATGTCCCGGATAATAAAATGCAAAGAATGCGTCATCTGATGAGGGGCAGACGAGGCCTTCCTGAGGCTGTTTCCCGGGGCTCTGCGGGGTCAGGCCGGGCCTCTCTGGGGTGGCTTCCTCTCTACCTCTTTCTTCCGAGCTCTGCCTCCTTGCCCTCTGCTGGGCACTCTCCTCATCGGGGCTGCTTCGGTGATGCTTCTCTTGAGGTGGAAGTTAACCTGGAAGGGAAACAGCAGAGGCTAGGAGACCAGTTTAGACCCTCCTTGGCCTACTCCACGGTTCGAGTCCTGGGCCTGGCAGCTTTAATCATCATTGCCAAAGTCTTACAGCAATGACCCAGAGCCGTACCAGTGGTGTCGTGTCGATGTAGCTCACGTTCCCCAACGTGGTGACACATAGGGTGTGGCTGGATGAACGTGAAACACTTGCGTCTGTATTAGAAGAAAATGGTATCTGTAAATCAAACCACCACGTCACCCATGCTGCTGCTCGGGACAAGAACCGTGATCGACGGTGCCGGAACAGTCCCCTCCTGCTGACTGCGTGAGTCGCGGGTGCTGTGCCCTGGCAGGCCAGAGTGTCTGAGACCTGCAGACCCAGGCCTGCGGCCCCCGCTCTTGGGCCGGCAGGGACGATTGAGATGCTCAGCGCAGAGCTTTAAGCCCTAAGCTCTGCGTCCACTCCCGCACCCTTTCTAGTGTACGGCGGAACTTTCCTTCTGGCCGTGGTGGCAGCTGGAAAGATGCTTTGAACTGACGAGTCCGGAATATTCTGGGTGTGGCTGGGCTGGAGAACCATCCCAGGCAGGGGGAGGACAGGGAGTGGCACGGTGTCCTAACCACACTCCCCGGGGCAGGCCTGGCTTTCTGCCCTTGGAATAGTGTGGGCGGCTGAAGCCAGGTGGGAGTTAGAAACATGCCATTATCCCCAAAATATCTACAACTATTACGTATCAATTTTTAAAAATTCCACTTAGTGAGCTCTTTTTAAAATGCCACTGGGAGCTAAGAGAGCTCTCAGCGGGATCATGTCCTGCTCCTACGAAATCCACGGGTAGTTTTTCTTCTGCTGGTTCTCCAGAGGGAAGGGGTGGGGGGCATCCGAGCCAGCTGTGCTACATAACTTATTTCCCACTTGGCAACACAGGCACTTAGGCAGGGGTGAGGAGACAGAAGGGCGAGGAAGACAGGAAACCGGAAGGAGCAGCAACACCTGGGAGACGGGAGAAGCAGAGAACTCGGACCCTGGGAGATTTTTTTTTTGGGGGGGAGAGGTTTTTGCTATAGGGCACGTGTGCTCGCCAGACAGAGAGAGACAGAGAGACAGAAAGCGAGAAATCACCCCCGAGAGAGGATGGTCATGCCGCAATCCCTTCTCCTCCATTCTCCTCTCGGGATCTTGGGCACGCACGCACGCGCGCCCGGCGTGAGTTTAAGCCCCCGGGTCCAGGACGCGAACCATGGTCGACTATGTGGGAGTCCAGCGACATAGCCATTACGCTAACTGCTGGTTCCCACCCTGGGAGATATTTTAAAGTGTCTTCTTTTTTTTTTTTTTTTAAAAATTTTTTTTTTTTTTTAATCTTTTTTTTTTTTAATTATTATCATCATTATTTTCCAGTTTGATTAGAGGGAAACAGAGAAAGAGAGAGAGGGCAAGTGAAAAAGCAAGCCACCAGGCCTGGTGCTCAAACCAAGGTCTGCCACATGGGAGTCCAGTGCCCCTACCCACCACACCACCTGCCGGCCCCTTGAAGTGTCTTAATTGCAACACGAAAACCCTCCTGTAACCAATCTTTCATTTTTTCTTTCCTCTTTTGCTTCGCTCTAGCAGAAGGAGATCTGCCTTGGAATAGGAAGGGACATGATCTCTACTGTGATCGATAAACAGTTGTCACTATATCTGGGAATAATATCCAAATGACAGGGTTTTTCTCCTCTGATTGTATTTGACATAATGATGGGCCCTGTCAATTTAGTAAAAGGAGGTGAAACCCTTTGAAATAGAGTGTGTCACGAAGGAGGATGTGCCGGCACTTGGATTCAGCCTGGAATGGGCTTGTTCGTTCCGTGTGGTTCTGTGCGCAGCTGCCTGCTGGTCATCTGAGCTCAGGTACAACAGGAAAACATACTGGGTCGTCGGGGAAGCCATGACACACTTTTGCATAGAAAAATACGTCACAACTTTCCCGGTAACCTAACAGAGAGAGGATGCATCGGTTAAGAAATGGAGATCCACTGTGGGCCGCATGGAAGAGTGACCCTTGGCTTCCCGCATCTGCAAGTAGAAGTCATTTATCAATATGCAGTGTGTATGTGTGTGTGGGGGGGGAGCAGAGGACTTGGAGGACAGAAAGGGGAGACTACCTAGGAATTTCAGAGGCGTTTCCTTCCTTCCTTCCTTCCTTCCTTTCTCATTCTTTCTTCCTTTCTTTTCTTTCTTTCTCTTTCTCTCTTTCTTTTTTGCCATAGGATGCATGCATTCACCAGAGAGACAGAAAGAGACAGAGAGAGGGAAAGTAAGAAATCACTCCTGGGGGGGATGGCCATGCCACAATCTCATCTCCATTCTTCTCTCAGGTTTCGGGCGCAGACGCACATGCGCCCGGTGTGATTTTCAAGCCACCAGGTCCGGGACTTGAACTGCAGTGGGCCACGTGGGCATCTAGCACCTTAACCACTCATGCCACCTGCTGGCCCCTCACAGCATTTTGAAAAGATTTAAATAATTCTTCACCATAATTCTTATGCTCAAATCAGGGATTAGGAACACATGTGAGTGTAGCATGAGACCTGGTAACACAGGGGCTAAGGAGACAGCCCTGAGAGGTTGACACAGGTTCGAATCCCGGCTCCCACCCCTTACTCACTGCATAGTATTGTTTACGTTTCTTCCTCCCCCCTTCCTTCCTTTCTTTCTTTTCAAAAACTTGCCAGAGACAGAAAGAGTGAGAAAGCACCCCGATGGGGCATGGCCATCCTGCAGTCCCCACTCCTTCATTTTTTCACCCCATTTTCTCGTTGGGATGTTGGGCATGCATGCCTACGTGCCCACTGTGTTTCTCAGGTCACCAGGTTCAGGACTCGAACTGCACAGATGGCCATGTGGAATCTAATCGCTGTAACTACGCCACAGGCTGACCAGCAGGTTTCTTGTCTTCCGGAAGTTTCCGTTTCCTCAACCACAAATGGAGATGCTGACGTGCTCACAGCGTTATTGTGGAGGGTAAACGAGATACTCAGGGAACTCCATGTATGTGGCCCTGGGACCCGTTTCATAAATAGTGCCTATTGGGATATTGTAAAAGATAAGCTCCCTGCCTTGACCGTGCTGTGTTTTAGAGAAAAGGAGAGAGGGTGTACTGAGCTCTGAGGTGTGGGACAGAGCAGGAACGGGACACTGAGGAGGCCTCAGGAAAGAGCTGACGTGTGCGAATAGGTCTGCAGCTGCTCACTGAGTATGACTGCCTCACTATTTTTTCTTCATTAAGAAACATGAGAGTTGGGGGCTGGCAGGTGGCGTGGTGGTTAAAGGTGTTACACTCTTACATGGCTGACCGCAGTTTGAGTCCTGGACCTGGCGGCTTGCTTTCTTACTTTCCTTCCTCTGATCAAACTGGAAAATAATAATAATAAATAAAGTTAAATAAAATAATTCTTTTTTT